TATCGTTTACATGTCTCTCTCTTTCTCTCTCTCTCTCTCTCTCTCTCTCTCTCTCTCTGCGTGTGTGTGAGACAAAGCGACGGCAAGGTGTGCGCCTTCACACTAGAGTTTACGGTACGTCAAACACAGGTGCGCTTGCGCATCCATTGAGATGAACTGAAAAACAGCACAGATCGCTTGACGGAGAGAGAAACTCTGATGCGCTCAGTCAGAGAGTGTTCGGCGAGTGAAAATATATCTGCGCTAAACTTATACTCAGCCTCCAACTCACACACAAAGCTCAAACGGGATTCAACTCATTGAGGGAGCTGTTCCGTTTCATTTACGTGCTGGATTGGAACCAAGAATCATGAAAATCCTTTTTTTTTGTGCCTGTTCAATAATTGTATTGGAATCCTGAAGACTTTGTTTCCAACTCACAATTAGTTCAGTGAGACAATGTGGCTTCAGGTAGTGTTTCTATTGATTCCTTTACAAGGCTGGGTAATAAAACAAATAACATTAAAAAGCTATTCCATTCAGCATGAAGCAATGCATGTCAACCAGCCATACTTATGAATTTAATAGCTTGAGGGAGAAAAAATGGTTTGTAAAAAAGCGGCTACACTACAAGAATGCCACTTACCAACATATTTCAGACATTTTGGTGTGCCAGAATATATTTGTGGACTGTTTTGATCCCATGAATGGTAAATCCCAGGGCATATTGTAGATCCTTCTTTCCATGAGCACTGACGGCCGCTTGTTGAGCTTCATTTTTCATGTGTGACATTTAATCAAAACAGCAGTAGCCCCAGCCTTTATTTAGCTAGTCATCATTACTGCTCTAGGAGACAATTACAATTCCTCTCAACTTCTGTCATGTCGATTCCCTCATTTTTCCAAGGCAGCAGTTTTCTCAGATATGTTGTCTTGGGTGGTGACACATTCCATTTTGAAGTGTGTACATAATAAACAACTGCGACAGAGCAGAAATTTAATCAACACAAAAGTAGCGGCTTTGAGCTGTGGACATGACAAGATGCACCCGGTGTTGTTGACTAAGGGAACCCATTTTCATCTGCAGAAGCATCCACCAGGTTACATACAAAAACAGCCCTCCAAACACAGAGCAATTATACCAGACCTTCTTATTAACACAAACACATGTTTCTGTTTGCAGAGAGCCTGACATTAATCAAGGCATTGCCGCTGAGTACGAATCAATCTTGCATTACTCCTAATTACTGTCCCACGCCCAGGCTCCTCCACTTGAGCAATTTATTCAAGCGTAGACAGATCACTAGACTCTTTAGACTGGCCTCACATCTATGTGGTGTCAGTAAAACAGTTTGCCATTTATGGGCACAGTTTGGCTTATGATATATTTACATTGCAGCGTCGAAATTCTGCTCAGTGCCACTGACTCCGCTACAACACCTTTGTTTTGGGGTGAGTCTGTAGCAAGAGTGTTTCACACATGTATGAGTATAATTTGATAAAACAGATATAAGCTGGCAATTTACTTAATAACGCCTTAGCAATAAACACCAGCATAACAGCATATATATATATATATATATATATATATATACAGTGCCCTCCATAAGTATTGGAACAGTAAAGACAAACTTGCTCTGTTTGCTGTGGAGTCGAGACATTTGCAAATATGATTAAAAGATGAATATGACCAAATAAAAAGGACAGCACTTCTAGAGTTCATCCCACTATCTGATGTGAGCACAAGGATTGGGACAGATGAACCTAAGGTAGATGTAAAAGATTAAAAGCTATTATTTAGTTGCAGATCTCTTGCGTGCGATCAGAGCAGTGAGTGTGCGACCCACAGACTTCACCAGACTCTTGGTCTCATCCTTTGAAATGCTTTTCCCAGCCTTCAATGCAGCCAATTCCAACTGTTGCTTGTTTTGGGGAGTTTCTGCCTTTAGTCTCCTCTTCAGCTGGTGAAATTCATGTTCAATCAGATTTAAATCTGTAAACTGACTTGGGCAATCTAAGACTTTCCGTTTCTTTGCCCTGATAAACTCCTTGACTGATCCGGCAGTGCGTTTTGGGTCATTGTCCTGATGCAATATGAAGCGCTTTCTGATGAGTCTGGTGGCATTTTCTTGAATATTGGTAGCCAAGATGGTTTTGCACCCTTCATTAAAAGCTATTATTTTGTTGCAGATCCCTTGCGTGCAATCAGAGCAGTGAGTCTGCGACGCATAGACATCACCAGAAGCTTGGTCGCATCCTTTGAAACGCTGTCCCCAGCCTTTAATACAGCCAATACCAACTGTTGCTTGTTTTGGGGAGTTTCTGCCTTTAGTCTCCTCTTCAGCTGGTGAAATTCATGTTCAATCAGATTTAAATCTGTAAACTGACTTGGGCAATCTAAGACTTTCCGTTTCTTTGCCCTGATAAACTCCTTGACTGATCTGGCAGTGCGTTTTGGGTCATTGTCCTGATGCAATATGAAGCGCTTTCTGATGAGTCTGGTGGCATTTTCTTGAATATTGGTAGCCAAGATGGTTTTGCACCCTTCCAAATGCATCCTGCTGCTGTCATCATACATTTCCCATCACTTAAGCCCAGCTCACACTGTGCGATTTTGGCCACGATTTGGTCGTCTGAGACCAATTTTAAAAATCCTAAAAGATTCCTATAATCCTAAGCTAAAATCTGTAGTCTTTGATCGCTGGTTTGACTTGTTCACCGACAGCCGATTAATGGCCGTTAATGCTAGAGATTTCTTCTAACTGCATAAACTCCGGCGCTCTCGTCCTCCGCTCACGGAATTCATCTGATATGTTGCCTTTGCTATGATAAACACTGGTTGCACTGCTGTTTTCATGTGGGTGTGTAGTGCTGCTTACACTATTCTTCTTTAATACTCCGGTGGGCTACTTTAGATGATAACAACATTACAGCCCCGCGTGCAATGCAGCTCGCAGTCACTGGACGTGTATGGGTTGATAATGTAAATCTCCGGACAAGTTTTCTTGCGCGCACCCGTTTTTAAGGCGTCTTGACTGTCGGTACAGTCTGACATTAATGACAACTGAGATCCCACAGCGTGACATGATCATCATGTTCGTACAGTCTGACAAGTACAATCCTAAAGGACTTTAAAAAAATCGCACAGTGTGCACCCAGCTGTGCTAAATCTTTGTCTCATCTGTTCATAAAACTCTGTTCCAAATCTCTACTGGCTTTTGCAAACTCTAATCTTGCCTTTCTATTTTTGGTGCTGCTCAGAGGTTTGCATTTTGCTGTAGCCTCTGTAATTCTGTGTCGAAGACAGTAGATCGTCAGAGCATCACCCCAGCTTTCTGGAGATTGTTGGTGATTTTACATACACGTATTTTAGGGTTCATTTTCACAGCTTTTATGATTTGTCTGTCATCAACGGCTGTTGTTTTTCTCAGCCGATCAGGTCGTTGTTGGCTGCTGATGTCTCCAGTGGTTTCCAAACTCTTGATTTCTCCATGCCCTTTGTTTTTGCTATAGCTCTAATTTACTTCCTCTTTTCTTTTAGCATCCAAATTGCTTGCTTGTCTCTCAAAGTCAGCTCCCTCGTCTTCATCCTGGTTTGTGTGTGTCGTCATCGAATGCAAGACTCAGAATGCAGAAGCAATGGATATAACTAATACGACACATTCCCTGCTTTTAATATCTGAAGAATTAATGATCACTCAGAAAGACCTGTGAGGCAACTGTCCCAATACTTATGCTCACATCAGATAGTGGGATGAACTCTAAAAGTGCTGATCTTCTTAGCTGGTAAAACTTCTATGTGTTGAAACACCCAATAATAAAATGTGACATTCTGTAGTTTTGTCTCATATGGTTCACAGCAAACAGAGCAATTTTGTCTTTACTGTTCCAATACTTATGGAGGGCACTATATATATATATATATATAGCTGTGGACATTGAATGGCTTTCCTGAGGTAAATATAATGTCGCATCAGCATGACATATTGTTTACAAGCTGTTTTATTGATGTCTTTTAATGGTTGGAACAGAGATTCAACATACCTGAACTGAACCTTGAACTGAAACAGTGTCACACCAGATTTCAGACACAATTTTGTATTAAAATGACAGAATTTGAAAGCTGAGACTTTATTTCTAATCAAAAGTAACAAAGCACAAAGCCCATTCAAATCATTGAATTGGAGACATGCTACACATAATGTTTAGAAAGGTTTTGCTTATCTATTACCTGAAAACCACACAGACTAAAAGATTGTTCTTGAGATTTAATATTCGATATTGGTTCATCAAATAGAAGACTGATTAAAATAAAGTAATGTCAACCCTAGCTAGAGTTTACTGCAAAACAGCATAAGCGGCTCACGTGTAAATGAACACAGTGATGCATTGACACAGAATAAATTGCAGGCTTTTGCTATTTGAAAATCACACTAAGCTATTTTTATGATATAATTAATTAAGCTTTGTTTGGGAAGCCCTGTTTTATGTTTGGCTGCCAAAAAAAAAAGAAGAAAAAAAGAAAATTCCTGCTTTTACTCCTAGCGGTCTCAATTTTGACATGGTTTAATAATTTGTCTTCCAGATTTTTATCAGTGCTTTGTCATTCTACAAACACTTCAGGGATAGCCACACATGCACAAACAGAGAAATGGAGTAAACCAGACAAGATGGTGAAAATACAGGGCACGCATCCATACGAAGGACGTCTGTTCAAATCGGTGAGTGCTGATCTCCTTCAGACGCATGTGTTTATCTGATTGTGAGTTCTGTGTGTTTTCTGCTGGTAATGAGAAATGTCTTTTTCTCTCATGGTAGGGTGTGCAGTCTGAGCTGATCATTCCTACAGAGCTGACTGTGAGTTTCAGAGCAGATAAAGGCCCCGAGTCTGTGATGAGAGCTCCGCTTGTCATTTACACGGACACTGCTGACCAGCAAACTGCAGACACACTGAAGAGTACCATTCTCTAATATTGTTCACTTACACAAACAATTAGCTTACTGAGTTATTATTCATTTTAGAATGAGCACATGATACCTTCGTGTTGTTCCAAAGCTATGTGAATATCCGTCATCAGTAGAACACAGAAGACTTTTATCCATTCAGTGATCAGGGGCTGCCAAGCTCCAGTAATCACAAAGAAATGAGTGCCTTAAAAGTGCTTCATTTAACCAATGCATTAAAAAATGTACCTTTCTGCTGTCGCTCACAGATCGTTTCCATATTGGCGCACATTCGAACCTTTTGCACCAAGAGCCAGATTCCTGAAAAATTATTAAGAAGGAAAATCATCTGAAACTCTGCTCTCTTTTTTTCTTAATATTGAATTTGAATTCCTGAAAAGAATGCTGAATTCCATAAAAATCATTGTAAATAACTTGTCTTAAATCCCCAGCGAGATGACATCTAATGGATTTGTGGGGTTGTTTCCAATATTAAGCAATAAAACATAATGCTAGGTACATACAATGCATATCGCTATAACTAGGGATATGCAAATATTTTGCAATGATCGATAATGTAAACAATGATTGGTTATGATGATGCGTAACTTGTAGTTAAATAGGGACCTGGTTTTTAATGTTGTAATTGTGACAGCATTCACGGGATTCAGCACCTATGAGAGTGTCGATGCACAGGACATAACCAGCAGCATGGACACACAGATACAGAACGCATTCACTCATTCATAATGAATTCATAACCAGTTCAGCTGCAACCTTAAAGAGATAGTTCACCCAAAAATGAAACTCACCCTCATGTGGTTCCAAACCATAAGTGTATTGCTCTTCGCTGTCCTCATCTGGTGAATGGCACAGGGAGTGTATTAGACAGAGCAAACATGCTTTCCACTGGGCTGAATAAAGCCTGCTTGTTGCATACTGTTTTAAAGGGGTCATATGATGCTTTTTTAAAGATCATTATTTTGTGTATTTGGTGTAACAGAATATGTTGACATGCTTTAATGTTCAAAAAACACATTATTTTTTAAATACTGTACATTATTGTAGGTCCTATATGCCCCGCCTCTCTCAAACACGTTGTTTTCTACAAAGTCCCTCCTTCCGACAAGCGCAGTCTGCTCTGATTGGCCAGATGACCCAGTGCATTGTGATTGGCCGAACACCGAAATGTAACGCCCCTTACCATACCTTCAGGGATCTTATCTATGCACAATCAGCTTGTAACACTCCAAAGAGAAAGGAAAACTTGAAATCGCATCATATGACCCCTTTAAGGCATGAAAAGCAGAGATGTGTTTGCATTGGTTTGTTTCTCTTCTCGCTGCAGATGAGGCGGTGGATAAAGCTGCGCACCCCATCAAGCGCGTCCGCACAAGGCCTCTCAGCTCATCTAATATCATGCAGGACTCGGAGAACTGGAAGCCGTACGCCGGTATGTGCGGGACTAAACGTTGCAGGACAAGACCTCTCATGGACCGAACTCAGCGCAAAGAAGTACACAACAGAAAGGAGCGCGATCGCAGGTGGGCTCTGCAGACTTATTGTTTAAGCTGTACCGCTCACTGTGCAGAGATTACATGAAGCATGTTTCCGGTTGACCTCAGGAGAAGGATCCGTCTGTGCTGTGACGAGTTAAACCTGCTGGTGCCGTTCTGTTACGCCGACACCGATAAAGCCACCACACTGCAGTGGACCACGGCCTTCCTCAAATACATCCAGGAAATACACGGAGACCGACTCAAGCAGGTTCTCCGTTTTCATAGTCATACAATATCAGGGATTTTTGTTTGTCGCTTTACATTTTAGTTTCCATTTATCAAAATGTAATTTTTTTTAATTTGATGCATCGATTCTAAAGGAGGATCAGATATCTCCAGTTGACTTTTTTAAACAGAAGGCTGCAAAAAGTCTTCCATTTTCTTAAATAGTGTAGAAAAGTCTTATTTGAAGACGCTTCTAATGAGGTGGCTTTAAAATGCAGTCTTAAGCACCAGAAACAGATTACAAAGTGAGGCTGAAGGCATCTGAAGTATTATGGCAATTACTTCGATCGATACAAACCATGAAGCGCTCTAAGAGTGATAGATACAGAGCACTGAGTGTATGGAGTGAGGAAACTCTTCCTGAAGTACTCATAAATCCACTCTCGTTTCAGGATTTCCAGAGCACTTTCTGTGGCAAGACTGGACTGCGGTTGAAGCCTAGCTGTGTTTCAGTGGCACATCTCCTCGAACCCTATAAAAACACAACAGAGCCTGTGGACTCATCCTCGCACAGCTGACTTCCTGTTCTCTGCTGCAGTGTTGTGAATGTGTGCCTGTAGTTTGACATGAATGTTTTCCGCGTGGGTTTATTGAATGATGCTAGTTCCTCTCTTCCACTAGCCCGTGCCCAGAAGACCCTGAGCGTTTGTTGTCTTAGACCAGCTCGAGTGTAGACCGAGGCTCAACCCACTGTTCATTTTATTTCACACCGTCACGTCTGCAGAGCAAACCCTACTGTAATATAGTTCACACATTTAGAGAAGTTGTGCTGTGTATTTTTGTTTGTGTTTTTATGCCTTGTTGGTTTGAAAGGCATGACCGTTTGTTGTCTCAATATATGTTATTTTACATTTAATGTATTTATTATTAGTGTACTAATGAACGTTCAGAGAAATACTTTACTGAAAAGTGGCTTTATTCAGTTTTTCTTACAATACCATGCTGTAGAAACTCACTGTACACACAACAGTAACTCAGAAATAATAAATAGTATTTAAAGTCATATTTAATAGTTTTACAGCACCATTATCTAGTGGATAAAAGTTGATAAAGCCCACAGATGGCCAACGACATATTTTACAGTAAGTGTGTCTGAAGCATTGATGCTTGAAGTTTGTTCCTCAAACAGTGACTTTCAATGTTAAACATTTAGAAACTAAATGTAAACGTAAGAATAAAATGGCAAAGAAAATCAATTTGCAGCAATACATCCAATATTTGGTTTCATTTCTTGATGCCTCAAACAAGCCTCCAGTGTTGTTTGTCTTTGCTGTTGTCGAGGTCAGGTTTTGAGGCTCAAAGGTGTACTCCATTACACTTTTAAAGGGTGCTGTACAAGAAGACTTCTAATACAAGGACTGAATTATTGCGTTCACATCAGCTAGTTTCACGGCGCGATGCATTAGTCTTTTGCTGTATGTACACATGTTGGGGTTCACAGCTGCTCCGCTCTGATGCTCAGTGTTTGTTGGGCTCTGACACCTCTTCAGTTGCGTTTCCTGCTGGTTCTACTGTTAATGGTTCTTGGGGTTGGAGGACTTCCCGTGAACCGCGGCTCCTTGGCACGCTGAAGTGTCACAGATGCCGGGTGATCCCTGGTGACCCGGTCTGCCGGCTCTGCCTGCTTCTCCTGGCTCTCCTGGATCTCCAGGCGCTCCGTCACGGCCGTCTTTGACGATGCCATGCACGCCGGGCAGACCTGGAGGCCACGAGACGAAGAATCACAATGATGTACGACAGAAAGAAATCAGCTTTAGCTGAAGGGGAATAGCTGTGTTGTGATTGTCTAAGTAGCCTGACAGATCCAGTGCGGTTACAGATCATCAGAGCTGGGTAGATTACTTACGTTTGTAAACCGTTACTGATTCCAAATTATGCTAATTAAATTGTAGTTAGTAACGTAATCCACCGCAGTACACATTTTAGGTAATATAATCAGACCACTTTTGACATAACTTATCACAATGATTTAAACAGGACAATCTTGTACCATATTGATATAAAAATACAAAGAGTAAGAAAATATATTCCAACATGAAGTGCATTAAACATTACATTACTTCAAGGTTTCCCAAACGGGTTCGTGAATAAACTGCAGGGGGTTCGTGAGTTTAATGAAAAGCTAATAATTAAATCACAATGATGTAAAATTCAATCATTTTAAAATAAAACACTAAAAAAATGAATCATTTGTTTGCATGCATGTCATGTGACCATTAACCAATGTCAGAGAACTGTGTGATACGTAATTCAAATATTTAAAATCTCAGGGGTACTTCAAGTAAATATATCAGGTGAAAGAGGATCAGATGACAAACAAGTTTGGGAATCCCTGCATTACATGTAAAGAAGAAATAACGTGAATTTTGCATCTGAATGTGTTTGAAAGACAAAAGCCTTCCAAAGACCTAGTAATGCACGGTTAAATAACCCACTGAGTCATAATTCAAATAAAAATGTGTTCATCAGCAGTTGATGCAATGCTGAAACGCTTCTTAAACCTGAAATGATTTTTGTAAATCCAGTGCTCAAATGTAGCCACCTGACTAAAGACTGATCTCTGTGTGAATGTCCACAGACCTTCTGAGTGTATGTAAGTGGTAGGCTATTTTAGAAAGGAAGATTTAAAAGAGGAATTGGGGAGAATCAATCAATTATGAAGCATTAATTGCTATAGTGTGGATAATATGTAATCAATAAAAAAGTAACTGTAGTCTTGATTCCGAGTATTTTGAAATGTAATTTAATCAATTTACAAGTATTTGAATATTTGGAATCAGATTACATGTAATCAGTTACTACCCAGCTCTGCATGTAATCGTTTTATGATTGGTTGCTCATATGCTTATCTTTCCTTTAGTTTGAGCTGTACAGTATAGTTAATCAAGTCAGAAACATCCACCGGCCTGTTCTTGGGAATCGATCCCAGGTTGCTCTTAGAAGAGTTCTGCCACATCTGGCCCAACTAACTTTTTTTTTGGCATGCTAATACTTTAGGAAATGTGTGTTTTTTAAGTTAATATTTGGCAGTGGTACACAGCAGGGCTTATTTTTCTCAATATACTTTACATTGACAAGCTGCACTGATAATGTGTCCGACTGGGGCGCACTTAATGTGCTTATGAACAGCCTGTACTTACCCGGGTCCCCCTGGTCTCCAGCGGGCCCTTCGATGGCTTTACCTACAGGCCCCTTGTCACCTGGCTCACCCATGTCCCCTGCAGAATACAAGATACATACAAATTCATTCTGGAATGTGGTTTATGAATTCATATTAGGATAAAACTGTCTTCCTGGATTCATACACGTAACAGCAAATATTTTTCACAGCTGTGAGAAGGTTTTTTACAGCCATTTCTCAATACTCTGGTCACTTTCAAAACTCTTCACACACACAGACTGCTGCTGGGCTCACTATCACTGCTTTGACACAAAACACTCAATGATCAAATCTTTCAAACATCACCAAAACTACATGCACCTATACAAATGAGGAAACTTGGAAATCATTGCAAAAATGTTTTTTTCTTTTTTTTGTTGGTCGTTTTGCATTCTGGATGAGAAATGTACTGCTGTGCCAAGCTAAAGTTTGGTAGGGAGAACTGTGTGAAGAGTTTTGAAAGAGTTACCTAAGTGTTGAAAAATGTGTCTTTGCAATAGTAAAAAAAAAAACTGTTAATACTCTGTTTGAAAGCACACTCGTGTTATTATTTTCCCGTAAGAGTAAATTGAATGTGTCTGGCTTCCGGTGTCACCCGCTTCCAGCTATTTTTAGCTGTACAAAACACCTTGTTTTGCGGCTTGATATTTCAAACTGGTGTCTTACCATATTATTAATGTATTATCTTAATTATGAACACACTGGTTTGTAGTGCAAACCGTTTTACCCTTTACTGCACTTTGTTATTCTTCTCGTTATTTCCCTACAGCGGTTAATGAACCGGAAGTCTCGCACATTGACAGAAAACGGATTACTTCCACTGAAAAATAAGGTGGATAGGTGCAGATAAAGCCTGTCCTGAGGAATTATGGGTAGCACTTTATAATAAGGTTCTGTTTAATACCATTAGTTAACTACATTAGTTAACATGAACTAACAATAAAAAGTCATTCTATAGCATTTTACATATACAATAGTAATTTTAACATGAACCAAAATCAAAAGTTGTTTCTTGATATTATTTAATGGACCTGAGCTAACAACGAACAGTTGAATTGAACTAACATAAAGATTAATATATACTCTTAACAAATGCACTGCATTAACTAACTCTAATGCAACCTTAATGACATTGCATTGTACACTTTTATCCTTTTGTTTAATAAAAAAGCACAACATGACCCGTCTCTCACCTCGAGGACCAGGATCACCCAGATCTCCCGGCAGTCCTCTGTAACCCGGCGGGCCAAGGGCTCCAGGGTGACCGATGGATCCAACCTCTCCTTGCTTCCCTGGAGGCCCGGCTGGTCCAGGCCGTCCCACGGCACCAGGAGCCAGAGGCCTTCTCAGGTTAGCAGCGAGCTGAGCCATCTGATCTGAGATCAACACCAGCAATACACTACAGGCTGCATCGTGAAACTGCATCAATATATGCCGTTTATGGGTGAACAAAGGTCTTACCATCGATCATCGAGCTACACAGTTCTCTGATGTGCTGCTCACTAGCCAGTTTGCCCTGCAACATAATCACAACAGCACTCCTGAGACATATTCTGTGTTTACAGCGCAGTACCAACATGTATCGTCTGGCAGGTGCTTACAGGAACACCAGTCTTTCCAGAGACCCCTGGAAAACCTTGCTCTCCTTGGAATCCCATCGGTCCTGGTTTTCCAGGTGCGCCTCTGGCTCCGGTCTCTCCCTGTGGTCCTACAACTCCTTTGGCTCCCAGCTCGCCACGCTTACCGGACTAAGACACAGGGAAAACCACACGGATTGTCCTCAGGTAGCAGCATAAAATGTTTTGCATTTGGTCCCAGATGCAGTAAGTTCATCACTCCAGACCAGCTGTGCACCATATAAGAGCCATGACGTGTTCGACTACTACTACAGCTGAGGTCACAAGGTCGCATACCCCTTGTAGACTCTGCAAGATGTTTATCATTTTAAAAAGCTTATCTATCGTTGGCACCAATAGCCTTGTGGGCAGCGTGCCGACATACTGTGTTGCGCTTTCGGCGTCCCGACTCGAGGACCCTTCCTGATCCCATCCCCTTCTCTCTCCCTCTTTACTTCCTGTCATTATGCTATTATCATATCAAAATAAAGGCAAAAATGCCAAAAATAAATCTAAAAAAAGTTTATTTGTTTATTTTTTAAAGTACTGTCCTGATTAAGCTATTTTATATACATGCCACATGACACAATGATAACTGAACTGACACAAATGATCCTGTAGAGAAGTGTTTTCTTGCACACTCTTTGGTTTTCCTGCTCCACATTACATCTCTTCCCAACATCTTCAGCTCTTATCACGAGGATAATTAAGGGACTCGCACTACTATTACACAAGGTGCAGACATTCATTGATGCTCAATCAGGAAACGCATTACAAGAACAATTAGCACTGTTCTTCACAATCTACATACAATATTTACATATCCCACACAGGATAGTAAAATACTGTAAAAAAAAAAGAAAAAAAAAAAGATTATTATTTTTTTAATTTCAAAATTAAAATACTAATAATTCACAGCAGTCATGAAGTAGGTAGTGCTGCTGCTTCACAGAAACAAGGTTCAAGTCCTAGGAGACATTTTCTGTGTGGTCTTTGCGTGGATGTCCTCAGGGTGCCCTGTTTTCCCCCTCAATCCAAAGACATGCAAAACTGGTTATACTAAATGTACTCACAATATACAAAACTGATGGTTTGAAATTCACTCACAATCGTCTTGCTTACTAGGTTCTCTACTTGTAATCTGTTAGCTGACATTTAAATACTCTTAATATTCTCTTAATTCTTAATTCTCTTAACCCTCCTCCTCCCCAGCACCACTTTTCTAGATCTACATATGTGCATTTACATATGTTCATTTGCTTTAGCAGTAGCAAGTAGAACAAATACATTGAGTTGACATACATGATAAATGTTTATTCATGATTGAGACTATGTAGCTACTATTTTCTAAAAGCAATAAAACACTTGAGACCACGATAAACGACACCCATAGTACTTAACAGAGCAACTGACCTTATCTGATAGCAGCACTAATTTAATTCCATACTTGATGACATATCAAAATAAAATTGTTGTGGCGATACGGCTGAGTGTGATTGTCAGATTGTCAGACAACACAGGTGGCAATTTAATTAAATATACTGCATTCCCGGTTTCAAGCGTGACATTTCCACACCTGTAGTTCATGATACAGTGTCTGAGCATCTGAGAATGGTTTGGTTCATTTACTGTGACTCGAGCTGTTCTGAGACACTAGCTGTATTTCCATCCAAAGATGCAAATTTAACTTATGTGCAAAACTAGAATATCGCATAAAACATTTGCAATTAAAGCACCGTTTCCATCCAACGAGTCAAAGAGAACAAAATCATCACTGCCTGATAAACTGGCACTAAATATCTCTAAGAAAACTAGGAGAAGCTACTGAATATAATAAATTACTTGCGCCTCAGAGTGAGCAGACGAAACACAATAAATGCGGTCATTGCTTTTAGAGGTGGATACCTGATCTTTGGGAACGCAGTCGTGTAAGACAGTAAATACACATAAATACTTTGATGACAGACTTTCCTCAGGCATTTCAGAACGACCAAAACAACATATAGATGCTGTGAACGCGATCGGTCCGCTGGTTAGTCAGGTTATCCCGTCTCATAGCGCAGTCACATGACTTTTTTGATGCGCATGGAGGAATTAATTCGGTAAATGTGTTTCCATCATAGTTTATGCGAATTTTTTCTTATCGGATAAAAAGTTTATCCTACTCAATTGAGTGCATACATTTGTTATGCGCATTTTTAGAATTTGTGTGCATCTTGGCGTTTCCATCCAGTGTTTTGTATGCGCTATTCCAAAATGTGCATAAAAATAGATGGATGGAAACATAGCTACTGATATCATGGGCTGCATGAACACAGAGCTGAGCTTCACTCTGAAACTAAAAATCATTTTTCTTTGTCGGCAACCCACTAAAATAAAAGCTTGATGGTTTACCCTTTGAAAATGAAGAAATTAAAGGGATCATTTACTCACCCTTAAGTTGTTCCAAACCTGTAAGAGATTCTTTCTTCTGTGAAAGAAAAGAAAGGACAAAAGAAGAATGAAGAATGTTGATAACCAAACAGTTGTCGGTAGCCATTGAATTCCATAGCATTTTTGGTCCATACTACGGAAGTCAGTGGCTACCAGCAGCTGTTTGGTTACCAACATTCTTCAAAATATCTTATTTTATGTTCTGCAGAAGAAAAGAAACTCACACGTTTGGAACATAATGAGGGAGAGTAAATGATGACAGAACTTTCATTTTGGGGTGAACTATTCCTTTAATACATCAATATTAGTATTGTAATTTTACTTTTGTTAAAATTACTTTTTTTGTTATTATTATTATCTATTTATCATTTTGTTTTTATTTCGTAATATCACGATAATAAAACAATATTATAATCACTAATAACAATAAAATTAATTACAACCACAATTGTATTTTATAGTCATACTGAACTGGTCAAAAACAATGGCAATGTGGCCTACAAAAAAAAAAGTGTAAAAATTTTTGTTTTAAATTTTTTTTTTTACCTGAAGTGGTTGATGAAAGAGATTTGAGCTGGTTCTTGTAAATTTTCAGCTGTTTATTATTTTTATTTTCTATATCGATGCACTCCCTAACAAAATCACCCCACTAACTCTAGAATGATTCATTCTTTTTAAATATAGCTCTTCAAATAGTCTGGTGAAAATTACTGCATTTTATATATACAGTGGTGTGAAAAAGTGTTGGCCCCCTTCCTGATTTCTTATTTTTTTGCATGTTTGTCACACTTTAATGTTTCAGATCATCAAACAAATTTAAATATTAGTCAAAGATAACACATGTGAACACAACATGCAGTTTTTAAATGAAGGTTTTTATTATTAAAGGAAAACAAAATCCAAAACTACATGACCCTGTAAAAGGTTTCAAAGCCATCTCTAAAGAGTTTGGACTCCACCAATCCACGGTCAGACAGATTGTGTACAAATGAAGGAAATTCAAGACCACTGTTACCCACCCCAGGAGTGATCCACCAACAAAAAACACTCTAAAAGCAAGACATGTAAAAGTAACTAAGAAACTAAAGGCCTTTTTCACATTGGCTAATGTTAATGAGTCCATCATCAGGAGAACACTGAACACCCATGGTGTCCATGGCAGAATCGCAAGGAGAAAGCCACTGTTCTCCAAAAAGAAAATAACTGCCCATCTGCAGTTTGCTAAAGATCATGTGGACAAGCCAGAGGAATACTGGAGAAATGTTTTGTGGATGGATGAGACCAAAATAGAACATTTTGGTTTAAATGAGCAGCGTTATGTTCGGAGAAAGAAAACGCTGCATTCCAGCATAAGAACCTTATCCCATCTGTGAAACATGGTGGTGGTAGTATCATGGTTTGGGCCTGTTTTGCTGCATCTGGTCCAGGATGGCTTGCCATCATTGATGGAACAATGAATTCTGAATTATACCAGCAAATTCTGAAGGAAAATGTCAGGACATCTGTCCGAGAACTGAATCTCAAGAGAAAGTGGGTCATGCAGCAAGACAACGACCCCAAGCACACAAGTCGTTCTACCAAAGGATGATTAAAGAAGAACAAAGTTAATGTTTTGGAATGGTCAAGTCAAATTACGGACCTTAATCCAATTGAAATTGTGGAAGGACCTGTAGCAAGCAGTTCATAGGAGGAAACCCACCACCATCACAGAGTTGAAGTGGTTCTATACTGAGGAATGGGCTAAAATTCCTACAAGCAGTTGTGAAGGACTGATCAGCAGTTACAAGAAATATTACTTGCAGTTATTGCTGCAAAAGAGAGTTACACCAGATACTGAAAGCAAAGATTCACATACTTTTGCCACTCACAAATATTTAACACCGGATCATTTTTCTCAATAAATAAATGTGTTTCTTTGTTTTGGTTTCTCTTTGTCTAGAGACTTGATTGAAATTTTGATTATGTTTTGAGTCATATTTGTGCAGAAATATAGAAACTTCTAAAGGGTTCACAAACTTTCAAGCAGCACTTTATATACACACATATATATATATATATATATATATATATATCACATCATATATTGCAGAAAAGCAAAATATAGCAATGTCAGTTTTTTTCCAACAAGCTAATCGAGGTCTCCAGGATTGCTAGAAAGTTGCAGGCAATCTAACTATACTGCTTCGTCTCGTTAATAACGTGTCTACACTTTGTATTTTAGAATGAGTGCTGAAATTCTCAGTGAACTTGTGTTGTTTTGTGCCTCTGACAAGACTCTGATTCAGTTCATGCGCTCAACAGACGTGTGATTGCGCTGAAAATGCTCAACTTTAATGCTCTTCACACTGTAAACACATATATGCAAATATGGCACATTTAAAAGCAGAATTTGGTTAAAAATAGCCTTTTCCAGGTATGGGGTCCCAATGCACCAACTACAGTTTACTTTTGTAAGCCTTATTTGCTGCCTCGTAGCTTGAAGTGTATTACCCCTTCACATTATCTACAGGAGATTTCAGAAGATTTCAAGAGCAAATTCAGAAATTAATTAGTCAACCTGATGGTGTTTTAAACAGTAATTACTTTCTAAAATGAAACGTGATGTTGTGAGTGGAACATGCTAGCTGTTGTTATTCAATCTCAAGAAGAAGAAAAAACAGATTGAATAAATTAAAACAGAGATGATTTTTAGATGTTCATGTATTGTGCTGGTTCCATACCCTTAGGAAGGCTCTCAAGCCAAAACACATCAGTTTTTTTTTATATATAATTAAAAGTTCTCTTTTAAAGTTCAACAAGTGTTGCTGGATTTCGTTTTTTTTATTATTATTATTATTTCTGTTGTGAGACAGTCATGGCCACGTAAACAATTAATATATAGTATATACCTAACACAATATAGCCTATTATTCTTCTCTGTGTGTTAAAGGGTTAGTTCACCCAAAAATGAAAATTAGCCCACAAATTACTCACCCTCAAGTCATCCTAGGTGTATATGACTTTCTTCTTTCAGACGAATCCAGTCGGAGTTATATTAAAAATAGTCTTTGATCTTTTTAAGCTGTTTAATGCCACTCAGCGGGTGTTGCATGCATCAGTCCAAAAGAAGTTAAATAAAAAGAGCCCATCCATAAAAAAAAGTGTCTCACACGGATGACGTATGAGTTCAGCGTTGCGCATGCGCCGGTGAGTCTCGTGAAAACCAACGTTTGTTTACAGGATCAAAGGAAGCAAAGTTTTCTTACTTTAGCAAAGGAAAACCAGTCTCCTCTTGACTTATATAGAAATCCTCCGACATTCTTCTTTGCAAATCCTCGTTTTGTACTTCTAATAAGTGACCGGTGTTTTGTTTTGTTCCTGTGGCTATTTTTGTTCCTGTGTTCCTATCACAATGTTCCTGTGGCTCAGTGGTAGAGCATTGTGTTAGCAGCGCAGAAGGTTGTGGGTTAAATTCCCAGGGATCACACATACTGGTAAAAAAGGTATAGCCTGAATGTACTGTAAGTTGCTTTGGATAAAAGCGTCTGTTAAATTATTTATTTGTTTTGATCTCTCCGCTGCGCTTCCGCGTTCGTCACTTCTGACCGGCACATGCGCAAACCAGGGTTCTTTTCCATTCATCAGCTGCGCCTCTGTAATTGGATACTATTATGCGCGTCTCGTGTTTATAAGAGCAAAAACTTCTGATTAGGGTTGGGTATCGTTTGGGCTTTTTTCGATACCGGTGCCAAATCGATACTTTTAAAAAGGTTCCAGTGCCTGAACCGATACTTATTAATAAATAAATAAATAAATAAAAAATCCCCCCAAAAATGATGGATTGGCCATTAGAATAGAAATAGAATAAAGAGTGCAAATGTTATAGGGTCAAGTTTTTTAATAAAAAAAAACAAGCAGATACAATTAGAAGTAGCATTAGAATAGAGAGTGCTAGAGTTAGAGGGTCAAATGAAGATGAAAGAGATGTGTTTTCAGCCGTTTCTTGAAAATATTAAGGACTCAGCTGCTTGGACTGAGCTAGGCAGGTCATTCCACCAGGAGGGAACAGTTAATGTAGAAGACCATGAAAGTTTATCATAGGTAGAATGCAAAATGGGTCCAAAAAGAGGACATGTCCGGGGAAAAGAGGACGTATGGTCACCCTAATTTATAATCTATTGCTAATCGATGCATTCTTTTTAAAGTAGCCGATGGAACATATTTTCTGCCTCATTCTATGACAAGAAGCCTCGTCAGAGCACAAAAGATAGCATCTGACTGGTGTTGTGGAGTAAAAAGGTTATAATGTTCTCTTTTGTTGGACAACAGGTTTAGAAATGTGAATACAAGGGAGGTTTAGCTTTAGGCATTTTAATTTAAGCATGACCAGGAGGGAACAGTTAATGTAGAAGACCATGAAAGTTTTATCATAGGTAGAATGAAAATTGTTTCAATACAAGCATTTCAGTCAAATGTAATTTATGCAATATTTCAAACCTTTAACCCACTTGGGAAAATCAACCCATGGCAACAGTTTAAAAGTAGTCCAATTCTGTGGAAAAAACGTGGACTTGGCAACCCTGCATCTAACAAGAGCTACAGGAGTCAGCTTTGCCTGATCACAGGTCGAGAATAAGGAGAGATGACTGACAAGACCATGCTGGAGTATTTGCTGCTCAACAGATTCTGAGCTCATTGACAAATATCTGATCTTGTAAGATGTGCTCCCTTTACACAGAGTGCGTGTGATCGCGAAATC